ATCTTTCATCTTGATTGTTTTCCATATTCAGATTTTCAACTACTTTAACTATTAAAAACTAAAATCTTAAATAGTAAGATTAGTCCCCATGATTCCAGCACTACCTTATATTCACAATTATATCTAAACTGTGCTCACACCAGGCTCAGAACAAATCACATCCTGGCTGTCATCAGAGGGATAAGCAGGTGGTACGGGTAGGGATGTGAGCACAGCGTATTCAGTACCTCCACTGGTCTGGAGAAAAAAAGAATCAGGGACTATTTGTGACACTTCAAAATATACCCTCACCCTTTTAAATGCAGTCTAAGACATTCAGTATTTCATTGGCTATCTTACCTTATGTGTTTGGCAATCTATTTCTCTAGGTTTCAGTCTTTTGGACAATTATCTTTTATTTAAATAAACTAATTCAAGGGATTTTGTATTCCAGCGATGGTCTTTAACAGAATCATTTAACCTTCAGTTTACCTTCATGGAGAAAAGTTACTTTGCTGATGTCTGTGGACCTATATACTCATCTCAGGAGTCATCTGTCCTTCTTCAGGCTTTTATATTCAAGTCCTTTGCCTTTTCCCTTCCTTGAATCAAGAAACAGAAAATTAGGAGATATCTCAAGGGGATATCAAGAAACTGTTTCCCCAGAAAAAGTGACTTTATTCCTTACCCTGCTTTTTCCACAAAAAAACCCACTCTATGTTTGTGCAGCTGATTATCCCAGAATTTTGCATATATTTGTGTAACATGCCTTACACTTTACTGTGTGTCATTATTCTAAGTTGTCAAGATAATTTTAAATTTTAATCATATTCTTAAGCTTGCCTCCAGAGCCCAACACAAACCAGAGCATGTTAATGAAGGTCTGAGGTAATTCCAAGTGCAGGCAGACCTCTTCAGGCCTTTACTGGACACCATCTTGCATTTTCATAACAAGCCACTGTCAGCCATTCTGTCGTTATCCAAAAAAAGGTGGATCTGTCATTTAAGCACCTTCTTTTTTTTTTTCCTAGACCTGTTCCACTCCCTTGTTTGCAAAAAAAAAGTGTTGAGCATCTAATACTTAGGTGAATAATTTACTCCTGTCACTGTTTATGAGTTTTATCAGATATGACAACAAATAAGCATCTATTTGCAGAGATTTTAATTACAACTGTGATGCTTAGGCTCACCCATGCCCAATCAACCTTTCCAAATTATGTCTCTCTGGTAACAGCAACTCAAATTGTCCAGTACTCTGAACCAAATTCTACCAGTTAAAATGCAGTACCTATTTTAGTGTCTAAATACACAATATATGAAATCTACATAATGTCAACAACAGAATGTGACCAACCTTAGCATAAGAATGAGAATTGAATTAAATAATCTCACAGCTAAAACACAGGACAGGTTTACAAGACAATATTAAACTTCTGCCTTTTAGGCAAGTTACAAAAGCATCATTTACATCAGACCAAAAAAGAATTAACAGAATGATGCAAAGACCAGATCCTAGACTGGATCACTGCAATGGCCTGATGTAACATGGCAACTGCCAATTCCATTTGCACTGAGACATGAACTATCACTTTATTATTTTAAGCTGCACACTAAAATAATGCCAGGTTGAAGCTGTTGTGGAATACTTTCAGGTCATTCACAAAGAATCTTCACATAATAGCTAAAAGCTTTCTTCAAACATAGAAGGAATGAAAGAGCTTCTCTCTCTGCAAAGGGAGAGCACACAATTCTGCAAATTAAGTTTCTAATCTTGCAGGGGTTGTTGTCACTTACTGACAGATGAAAACCAACCACATTAAAATGTTCTTCAAACTTTTTGCTGCAGGAATTTTTAAGTAGAAACTTGAAAGGTGAAATTGTTCATTCTCACATGTATTTCACAGGGTTACCAGAGTATGAAATCACATAAAACCCTCCAATGGACTACTCCACCACAAATTAGTCATTTATTGGTACTTAAAATTATTACAAGATCTCTTGAGGGAAAAAACCCAAGCCACTTTTATAATGCAAACTGTAGTGGGGTGCAGTGTTAAAATGACTATCTGAAAATTTCTTACATTTATAGTAAACTTAATGAAGGCAAAAACATTTATAGGTGAAGAATATCTGTTAATAAGGCAAATCACAAAGATGACCACTCAGTTAAGCTTGATTTATGGGACATTAGTTTTCAAATATTGTTCAAACCTGAATTTCCAATGCTTTGAGGGTCCTTCGAAGCTCATTAAATATAATTAATAAGTAATTATTAAATTATTAATAATATAAGTCATAATTAAATTATTAAATTATTAAATATCATTAAAAAGTAATTATTTATAAAGCATGTTTGGAGGAAAAAGGAAGACTTTCTGGAAAAAAAAAAAGAAGAAAAGCTAGCTCTAAACAGAACACAACATGGAATTTAAATAGGGTTATGCTCTGGATTGTACTTAAACAAGTATAAGGGAAAAAATAGTCTATCTGCACTCTTTCCCTCATCAGAATATCAAGGATTGAAATAGTCAACCATATATTTAACACTGAAAAATTGTTGGCTTCTCCTGCTTTCAAACTGTAGCTTATTTACTTTCTTAATTTACAAACAGATTTCCTCAAGTATTAAATCTTTGCAAATCACATACAGTACTCACAGAAGTGATGAGTCTCAGCAATGCTTATGAAACCAATCCAATATATAAAGAAAAGTCTAGAAGTGGTTGAAAGTTTTCCACAGAAAGAAGTTCGTCAGAATCATGAATCAGTGTTGATTCATGAATTATTTCCCAGCTTCTTTGTTTGGGATTCAACAGAATAGTTCATAGGATCCAATTTAATTCATCCCTGTTTCCTGGCAAGCTTCTGCAGGTGTTAGAGCTGGAAGCCTGATTTCAAATGGAGCTAGTCTAACTAGGACACACTTCCCAGCTCTCTGGCAGGAGGCCTTAAAACCCCAGGGATCCTGGGGATAGACACCTGCAAAGGGACACACACAAAGAGCACCAATACACAGAACAACTGGGAAGACTCCCAAGGAGCAGACTTCATTTCAGAACTCCATGAGTTAGTTTGAAAAATAAACACAAAAACAAGATGAGGGAAATGTGGAAAAAAATGAAGAAGAGCTAGGACAGCTGGTGGCAATTCTGGCTTAAAGAACAAACTCCATTTTTTCCCTCCAAAACTCTAGTTTGGTATTGGAATGGAAGCATGGGGCCAGACTGCCCACAATTTATGCAATACAATTACAGATGCCAATAATATTTTGCCAATGAGATAGAACTGAACTTGTTTCTTTGACATGTTTTGTCCTGTTTTTTCTTTTAAAAGGACATTACCCACAAAGAGAGAAAACTTTAGCCCAACCCTTAGTACTTGTTAGTCATAAATAAGCAGTACAGTTATACGCTAGATGTAACTTTATTCTGAAGTCTGTGTCATATAAGATGTGCATACAACAGTGTTCATGGACAAAAAAACCCAGTTTCCTTGTAAAGCAGTGATTTTTTTCTTTCAATAGCTATTTACATTTGCTGCTGTTGTTGTGGGGTGGTGCCTAAATACAATATCTAAAATGTCTGATGGATGGGAATANGAGCTCGTTAGCCCATAAGGCAATCCATCTACGTCCTGAGGACCTCGCTGCCACCGTCCAAGCGTGCTTGGCCCCGGCAGATGAACCTCAGGATTAAAGGGTGGGCTCAGTTCCGCGCACACTGTGTCTCACCTAAAAAATCCAATGCGCAGGCTGGAAGGTGGAAAGACCTTCCCCGGTTCTTCGTTCGCGAAGAGACTGGCCATTACTATTATTTACTATGCATTAATAGCAATAAAAGGTCTGATACACCAAAGCATTATCCAGAAGACATGAGATGATTTTCAAACCCTTGTATAGCACCAGTTATTGTCATGGAATAAACATAATATTTTGTAGATATAGTAGTTGCTTTAAATCCTGATAAAAAATGTAAGAAATATATGAAGTAATCCTCATAAGTGCAAAATGTAAATGATAAGAAAATCCACAAAAGCAATTTCAACACTCTGACTGGTAACTATATAAAATGCATTTATTAAGATCATGTGATGCAAGTTTCGTGGAGTTCTTTACATTAGTAAAGCTTATGCTACTTAAAATTTCACTGTCTTTCAAAGGCAAGGCGTGGCTTTAGGTGAATGGTAATTTTTAACTGAGAGAAACCCAAACAACTACTAATAAAAACAATTATTTAAAATAAATGCACACAGATAAAATATATGAAATATTTCTGAAGATAAGGTTTTCATTGACATTCTTAAATCATTGTATTATATAAAGATATAAGGTAAAGATTAAATTTTTTTTCACATTTGGCAATTTTTAGAGAAATAGCAACGGAATTTACTTCCTTAAGGGTAAGTCAGAACACTGTCATTAATGACATGCTAAACCTAAATATGATAGATAACAAAATAAATCACATTAAAAGTAGAACAAAAGCAAGAAAACCCTGTTGAGGACTGAGATTTCCAGTATTTAAACAAATAAGAGACAAAAGTCAGTATTATTGTATTGGTATGGGAAAGTAACTGAGGTATATAATGTAAAGTATTGACATACCTTTTTTTTTACTTAGAAAGATGAGAGAGGCCTGTGATGTATATATTGCTGTTATTGACAAGAGAAAAGGAGATGCTTTCCTCTTAAACACTGAGAAAGCTACAATTTAACATGTGCACATGCACTTCTGTCAAACAGTACAATTTGCAAAATACTAGACACGTGCACGTTCCCATTTCTAACATCGTTACGCTTCCCCATCACTAACACATGACAAGACACTTAGTTCATACCTGCCCATCTCTGAAGACATTTTCTTTTTAAACACAGTTCTACGCAAATCACTCTCAGGACAGTGCTTATTTTGGGTTTATTTTGTTGGTTTTTTTGCCCTTCACTACCATTGTTCCCTCCAGTAGAAATATTTGTAATCAATCTGTAGCCTTAACATTTTGGCTGGGTAGCTCAACAAATTTTCTAGCAATAGCAACCCATTTCATTGTCATTTAGAAGGTCTTTATAAGCTCTATGACTAGGTTAGCACCAAAGTTTTACAGGTTGCAGGTCCAAATTTCACACAGTTATCTTCTATTAAATGCTGCTGGAGTGTTGCAACTACAAAAGCAACCTCAGGAGCAAATGCCACAGTCAAATGTGCACACATACAGACATACATAAATTGGCCAAGTGACTCTTATGATAAATACAGATTAAAAAACAATTTCACATTTACTGTCTTCACAATGCCATGAGTGCAGAAGCAGAGCAACAAACTGGTATTACTTGGATTCAGATCTTACTTCCATTTGGAAACAGGTTAGTCTAATGACATTAAAGCCAAACAAAAAACAAAGTTGAAAGATAGCATTCTTCTCTTTCCTTAGTATGCTTCAAGAAATAGACAGTCAATTAATTAAGTCAGTATTTTCATAATACTCAACATAAAAGCAAGACACACCAACGGTCAATGAATAACAGAAGATCTGGGTCCATGAATTAAATGCATGCTGTGACAGGATATAATTGTAGTATGTCTATATAAAAATATATTCAACATTTAATGAACTATACTCCGAGCTCTCCTAGTCCAACTTCTCAACAGAAGTGTAATTTTAACTTATTTCCACAGTATTTTTTAGATATTTGTTTTCAGGCTAATTATTTATTTACGCTAAAGAATAGTGACAAAAGTAACAATCCTTTTCATCTATACTCTCCCTTTACTTTTATGTCTATTTTTATTCTTCTGATCTGCCATCATGTTGCCAGTGATTTAAATCTGATTAGTCAGCATTTTATAATTCCACGTTAAGAAACATAATAATTTCAACTTGAGATAGTATTTTAAGTCACTTCTCTTAAGTATTTGCTTGGGAATTGGTCCAGTAGATGAAGTCAACTTAAAACCAGTTTTACAGTCAAGACTTAGAATAGAACAGACGAAACATAAATAATTACTGAAATGTTGCTTTCATCCTGCGCAGTGTGTCCTGAATTTTTCGAGCATGTTTTTCTGCTGGTATCTGGTGGAAGTTGGCACAGTTGTCAGCTGCCAAGGCAGAAATGTCTGCATCTTTAAAATGAGTTATTCTTTGTCTGAGGTAAGACTGCAGCTTGAAATCTGGTGTATACGTATAAGGATTCTCTTGAAATGCATGAACTTGGCTCACAACTTTTGCAATATTTCTTGTAAGAGAATATGGTAAAAAAGATTAGTTTGTTTTGCTGATGATAAAAACAAAAGCATAAACCAAAAAAGCAAACTTTCAAAGGCATTGAGCATTTTCTTCTATATTATAGGTACTTTTAATTAGATGGCCAAATGACTGAACCTGTGAAACGCTGCACTAGCTCTCATTATCCTGTTAGACAATATTCTAAAGTTAGGTGATATACATATAATTAAAATAATTACCTAAGTTTAGTCCACTTGTGAGCTCCATTTGTCATCGTAAATCCTCCAGTTTCAAGTTGTTGGACATGCATAGCCAAAACATGGGCTGATGGAATTGTTGGAAGAGTTTTGAATCTGTCTCCTTCCATCAAGCATAAGCTGTCACTTTTTAAAAACACCTAGTTTAAAAATGCACACAGATTAATCTCACATTAAGTATCAGTGAAAGCTTTACAGGTTCTCCATGTATTTAATACCTATTTATTTGTCTTGAACATTAACTTTTGGCATTGAAGTTGGAGACAATGCTGTAAATTAATCTAGTGGCAAACTTTAAGTACACAAATAAAGAAAGCAACTTTAATCAAAAGATACTTCATAGATAATTTTAATTGCTCTAAATCACAGCCAAAATTGCATTTTAAAACTTTATGTTTCAAAATTCTACAGATCAGTAAGAGAATGCCTGTGATAAAAAAAAAAAGTTTAAGACTTTTCAGAACAGATTACAGCTACAAAGCTCCTGCAGAAATCTTCTAGTGCATATCTAGTGTATCTAATGTTTTAGTTGCCTTTGAAATGTCTCTGATTTTTAACAGGACAAATGTTAGAGAAGTCCTGAGATTAAAATTTATGTAAACCCTTGAATGAAAAGTAAAAAAGTCTTAAAGCAAATTAACATCTCTTTCATAATACAAAGTAATAATTGTGGTATTCATCCTGCAGAGGCACCCATTTAAGCAGATCTTGCCTATTCTCCAACCCCAAAGAAGTATTTTTACATTAAAGACTTTATACTATACCTCAACAGCTTTGAGTTCCTCCATTATCTCAGCTACTTTTGCAGGTAAAATTTTCCAGGCCTTACAATAAAAAACAAATAGTTTTGTTTTTCACAGTAATGTCCATAATGGAACAAGATTATATTAAGCGAAGTGGTTAGAGAAAAGAGTCCAAAACTTACTGGTAACTGTCGTACAATAAGATTTTCCAAGCCTGCTAGGATTTGCATTGCAGTTGCAAAATTTCTTTGTTCATAGCAGTATTTTGCTATAAGAAGGAATTTTGACAGCAAGCTCACCTGCCGCTGAAAAAAAATTAAAGTATACTATATTTACATAAATATATACTAAACATACATAGTAAATCTACATAATAAAATTAGATGAGAAGGAAGAAGAGATACATTTTCTTTTCCAATTTGTTATCAAAATTGTTGACTGTAGTAACATTTCCCTCCAACACAAAGTTTTTCCTTTTCTGTCACCCTGGTATCCTTGATAAAGTCTGACATGTATTCTCCTAAGACAACCCATTTCTTACATTCTATTAGGTTTTGACACCTGCTACTAGAAAACATCCAAGACCCTCCCTGGGACAACAAACCAAATTGTTAACTGCCCACTCACAGGTGTATTTCAGAGTATTTCTTGTAGCTTTGCTGCATAACAACACATACATAATAAAAAATAATTTAACCATTTAATAGTTAATAATCCAGTAAACAAGGACGAACCTTAGTCGTGTGACATGTTACAATTTCAGCAGCAACCCAGGTGCTGATACTGTCTGCATTTCTTAATAACTGCAGAAGATACTGGTCTTGTATGCACTTCGACAGAAACAGATTACAGACTTTAAGTGAAACTGTCTCAGTAGAAACTGCCCTATGGAGAATATGGAAAAAAAAAAAAGGCAAAAATAACTCCTGCTGATATGGGATTTTCAAAGAAAATCTTGATTGTGAAGAGGCCAACTTCTAACCATTTAAAATAATTTTGCATTGCTTGCAGTCTTTTTATAATATTTTGTGATGTACATAGTAAGCCATGTTACTTTTTCTTCCTTATAATTACAAGATAATTATATCTGATCAAAAAATAAGCATATGCAGTATACATTTTTATAAATAAATACACCACTCCTGGGTGAATAAAACAAACCATCCAATCTGACACAAAGTAACAGCCAGGAATCCAAACTCACAAAAAAAACTGCAGCCATGTAAGACATTGAACCTGATACCTAGTGGCATCACACGCTTTGTTTCACATGACTGAACCCTAAAATCTGTATAATCCAGCTGATTGAGCCTTGGCATAGAAAAATCTGTAAAAGATGAGTTGCTTTAGAAATTCATTCCCTATCTTTAGACACAAAAGGCTACTACAGGTAGTGCAATTAACAAGTACTAATTGGAAGCTAGCTGAATCCACTGCGTATGAAAGAAGTAGACCATAATAAAAAACAATGAAGTCCATGTGGCTGGATGAAAACAGTAATTACCGATGAACAAGCAATTTAAATAGGTTGGTAATCACTCTAGGAACTATAGGGAAATTCTTACGTTATCTTCGAATACTGATAACTCATTTACCTCACAGTACAAAATGAACATTGCACAGAGAAGCTGCAGTTTCCATTCACATTCCAACTGCACACAATCTTGGCAACCTGGTCTAGCTGACCTTGCAGGGTGGTTGAAATACATCATCTTGAGAGGTCTCTTTCAACCTCAGCTGTTCTGTGAGACCATAACTGTCTTTTGAGATTTTATATACATACACATGTGTGATCAAGGATCCTATTTCAGAATCCATTACATTTTTTTCTTGCCAAAAAATGAAACCTTTGAAGAAACACCCCAACACAAGTCTTTAGAAATATTTTGGGCTGACTTGATTTACATTGCAAAGAAATCACCTTGCAAATGTGACCTTCCCCACACAAGTATGTGGATAGGTACATACAGAGACACATGTATAAAATCTCCTGAAATTAAAAAAAACCATATAAACAGGCTATCTCTTCTGAAAAAAAAACCCAAACAAACAAACCACCAAACCCACGACTAAGTATTTAAAATGTTTCTCTCTTTCTGGCTGTATTAAAAGTGTAACATGGTCAGTTATTGTACATCAACAGAATAGAAGGGCAGTTAAGCAACTTACTTTTGCAGAGCAACACATTTGTCTTTAACACCAAGTGCTCTTGAATTTAGAAAGTGTACTGGATGACACTTTAGAAATACTTCCTAAAGAAAAAGAGCAAGATATATTTGCTATTAGCTCTAACAATTTTTTTAAAATACTTGGGAATAAAAATGACAGACTGTGTCCCCCTCCCATCCCATCTTAATAAATTTCTGAGAGGGATAACAGTCTAAGAATAGCATTAGTCACTCCAATTTTCACTGTAGAGATTTCATGAGGAAAATGGATTATTTTAATTCAAAGTCTTATAAAACAGTATGAAATAAGCCTGAAACACGGTTGGGAAATAATAGAGAAAGAAGGCTGAGTGCAAAGTAAGAAGACCGGTATTATTTCCAAATAAACTTAGACCTCTATACCTGCTGCAGTAATGTCAGCTGCCAACAAAGCTGCTGTGCACTGTACTCTGTTAAGAGATACGGTCCCACTGCATCCACTTTAGCTTCTGTTACACTGCATGGCTTTGGCAAAACCGCTGAACTAGCGTGCAGCCGCCCTCTCTGATGTTGTGCAATTGGTCCCACACCTTTGGATAGTTTCCAGTAAAAGTTCTGTAGAAAAAAAATAAAATGTAAGGATACAACTTCTCTAAAACCAACACTAGGTCTCCCCTTGATGTAACTTTCAGGAATGTTTTGTTAAGAGAAACACCTTGCAGAGGATGCAGAACTCTTCAGCTAATCTTCAAGGTTAGCCCAGACACTAATTGGTTTACTGAACATTGCTATTTTAAGCTAATATAATATGCACAGCTGATGAGTCTGAGTAGGAGGTTGCCAGATCTCAATCAACAATCAGTATTTAAAACAAACCACTGTGTATTCAAGCTTGTTGCCATAAAATGTTTTATAGTCTGAAGTTCTATATATTTTACTTCTCATTATTTCTTGTATCTATTTCACTTAGAATCAAACATTCCTCTGCAAGAAATATTTGGTTTTCCATTCTTTTCCCTTCTTCTGTCTTCCAGTGTCATTATGACACAGTGACAATAAGAAATGTCTATGCTTCTCTTGCTGCTTGCCCTTTTTTGGCTGAATCCACAGTATACACATATACACTTTTATCAGAAGGCTGATTCCAAATTTAACTGGCACATTGTTGATACATTTGACCTCCACATGTTATTTTGGTCACTCTGTAATGAGATCTGTTTTCAGGAAAAGCCTACAGTATGTTCTGGCTTCTGGGACTCTAGCACACTGTATAAAATAGTAAATACAGACAAGCTCTTGCTACAAGCTTTGAAGTTTTATCAGGAAACCTCTCATCTCCTGATGTTTTCCTGCATTTTTAGTCTTACAAAGACCTATGCCTAATAAAAAACATCAATGTTTGACAAGGGGGTAATGGTTTCCTAGTAACTATGAGTCACATGTGTCAAGAATGAAGAGTTCAACTCTCAAAATTTTGATTATCTGATTTATTATTGCTGAAATAGCTGACAGTAATTAAGACTTAAGATTATTATTACAGTTACAAAACTGTTTGGGCCTCAGATATCTTCAAAAGAGAATTTAAAATGCATGTACGTAATTTTTAGTGAATATGTGGTCTGGACTCTAAGTTGGATACTTCTGTTTTTGTCAAAACATAATATATGGAAATGTGCTCCATACACAGCAGTCTGAAGAAAAGACATACCTTTCTGGAAACGTCTTCTGAGAGCTTTTTACATAGGGAATGTAATGTTTTTCTGCCCTCCTCACCTTCCTCTTCACATTTGTCCATGCTGGAGCACTGATCAGCACTGCCACTTTTCCTGGCAGAGGCATCCTCAAGCAATGACAACAATCTCTCACCATAGCCATTTAATGAAGCAACCTGGAAATGCAAAATAGGTTAACAGAATACTGAACTCAATTTCCCATAAATTATAAGCAAGCCATAACACAGTTGTAAGATTCACATTTGCCCAAACCCAGGCACACTGAATATGACTGTCAAATATAACATTATTTTTCTTTTATTTACTTTAATTGTACTTATGACAGTTTTTTTGTAATAAAAACCTTACATATACCAAAACTGATTTCAATTTTTTTTTGTTAAAGCACCTACTGAAACTCTAACTTACCTTGGAAGAAATAAATTCTTTTAGGGTACACAGAAGACCAGTATTTGTTGCAAAGTCTACACTATAGCAGTCTTCAATCCAAGCCTGCAGGATGTAGAAACTGCGGTTACATATTTTGGTAAGTGATGTGGAAGGATCCAGGCTTGCACTGGTGAGACATAAAAAAGCACTTAGTATACCAAAATTGATATCCATTTTCAATTTAAAAATAAGTGTTGAAAAAACCCACAAGTATTATTTGGTATTGACTGTACTATCTTAAATTCCTACATTTCCTGTCTCTAGAATCCCTGGCTCTATGGAAACAAAGCTGTGGTTCTATTTACTACCCATTACTGAGTAACTGGTAAAAGTCAGACTTGGAATTCAGCAGAAAATAGAAGTAAGCACATTGACAAATGCAGCTCTTGCTCTAATTTCACTCTCATTTGTCAAGAGAGTCTTAAAAAACAAACATAAAAATTAATTTTAATTAAGTAGGACTTCTGAGAAACAGCTATTTGTTATTGGGGGAAACTCGATTGTGCTGTGATAACATTTTCCATGGGAATTTACTGTACCTGGATAAAGTGCTGCTGATTCTATCAAGAAGAAACTGCAAAAACTCTTCTTGTGTGCAGAAATAGCGAAAGGTGTAGAGAAACTGCTGTACATAACCTTCTAAAAATGCATTTCTGTAAAGCACAAGAAAAACCTCAGACAAGTCAGAACACATTGTCTTTTTGCATTACAGTAACAGCAAAAAATACTTAAAATATCAATAACCATTTTAAATTCTCAAGTTCTTCATAAAACCCTGATCTTTTGTTACTAATTTTTACACAAAGACTGTGATTGCCAACACCGAAAGCATAATTTGTTTTATAAAGAGTTTCTCTACTTTCAATTTTGTGAATAACCACATTGACAATTCTATTATTAATAAAAGTTACAATCTAAATACTATAAAAGAACATTATTTTCTATCATCTCACTTGATGTTGCTTTAATGTTTTTTATTATAATAACATCATGAAAAGTAGATACATTAGGAAAGAAAATATTCCCTCTATCTCTAATTAGAGAAGTAGTTACTTTAACAACAGAATACATTTATTATACACACATTATAAATTAGGGTATTTTTTATATACACACACTCTCAAGGTCTTAACACAGGTTAATTGTCCTGTTTCTCTGTTGGTTTACAGCTCATCATGAAAGATGGGTTTGATGAAGCTCCAGTTTGAAAACATTTTCTTCACTTTGTGCAAAAGACATGGAAACACACCAGGAAAAGCTGCACTTAGGGTAAGTAACTGGATCTCAGAGTCAGGATGAGCTGGGAGGAATTTGGCCCCCCTACAGCAGTGCAAGTCTGATGGAGCCTCTGGCAATTTCCATGCTTCATGCTATTACAGCGCAAGTACCTTAAAACAACACTGCCCTTTAGCCTACTTGAAGGACAGCTTTGTCCCCATTTAAGCCCTCGGATAAGCTTGAGTCTTGATCAATGCCAAGGTCTAATTATTGGCACAATCATCTGTGGAACAGAACCTAAACATTTTCACATCCAGACTCTATTAATAAAATTACTAAATTATATGATCTGAGGAATTGTACTGCTGGCAGTAACACAAAGCCTCGATTCCATGGCAACCATCAGAGCAAAACCTCAAATAAGTAAAGGATAAAGTCTGAAGTTATTAGGTTTTTGTTTATTATCAATACTTAGGGTTTTAATTAAACCTACTCCATCTTTTGCCATTTTCTTGCCCATTCCTGTTAATAAGTGTTCACAGAAATAACAGAAACTTGATATGAGAGGAGAATTTATTCAATGTTGAGTGAGTAGGATTTATCACAGAGAAGTTTTTCCTGATTTAACAACTATGCTTCAACCCACCCCCAATTTAGGAGCAAAATATACTATACCTAGAATATAAATAAGCCATTAAACCAAGTGGTGTACCAGCCTGCAGAACTCTTACTCCATTTTGATTATTACACTGGTGTTTCTCTGTGTTATAGTAAAGAAGCAATGACGATTCATCCATAGGTGCCATGTCCATGGTGTCAGTTTTCCCGTTGTGAATGACTATAGGCAGAACACAGGATTCCACACCCCACTGCTCTGCATACATCATCTGCTCAAAAAACAAGGCCATGATAAAATAAAATGTAAGAAAATAAAGAGGAAAATCCACGCAGAATGCAATCAACTTAAAGTCAAATTGCATTTCATACCATTTTTTTCCCCTTTTTAAACAATACTAATAGCACTTACCTTTATTTTAATAATTCTTTTAGATCCTACTTAATTTGGCACTTGGACACAAAACATTTCACATTCCATATAGTGATTTGAGCTGCCAACTACACCGATGCAGTAATGAAATGACAAATGAAGCACAAGCAAAATCAAGTCTGACTTGCCTGAACATATTTCTTTACCAGTTCAAGAAATTGCACTTTTGATTTCATCTCCTGTAGCTGTCCTCTCAATTTGGGCAACATAGATTTAGTTTCAGAACCTTTAGATTTAAAACACACACAGCATAAGAACATCAATGATTTTGATTTACAGAACAAGTCCTTAAAAGCACTACATACCCATGTTATTACTGTCAAGTTGCTGTAATCTTACCTTTGCTTCTTCTTTCTTTCTGCAATAGTTTCTGGTAAAACTTTATAGTCTTTCTGTAATTTTTTGTTTCCATCATTAGCAATTGTTCTAGTTCCTATTTAAAAAGACCAGGATGGTAAATACAAGGCAGTTTTAGTAAGAAACAGAAGTTTTAGAAGAGAATTATTTTGTATGAAAATAAAGAACATCCAAACAGACAAGAATATGGTACTAACCATGAAAAACTACCTTTCACACCTGTGCTTACAGCCAAGTTATAGCAGGCATTACCTGTCTCCAGAAAAGTATTAGTTATGTCACGGTTCTACAACTAGAGCTGTTTTTTTGTGTATGATGAGACTGCATGGAAGTTTGTCTGAAAGCATTTACATAAATATGCCTTTAGTTATAATTACACTTACCTGGTTGTTTTCAAGAGCTTAAAACTTACAATCAGGAGTCATCCAGACTGAAAAGTTATGGGTTTTGAATTTAGTGTGGACCCCAGAAATGCTGCTAAGCAGCTGACCTATATTTGCAGCAAGAAGTGAATGCCTGACTGAAATCCATGGTTTCCAAACAAGTATAATTGCAAGTATATTATACAACCAGGTCAGAAGGCAGATAGGAGAGCTGCTCTAGAAGTAAAGGACGTATCAATCTTGACGTTCAGCTCTCATATTCTACATTTATGCATTTCACATAATTGAAATGATTAAATTCAATTTCTATAGAATTATATAATTTAGGCAATGGCTGGAAATGAAAGTATATTGGGCTTCTCACAATATACCCAATTTAATGTAAACATTTATAATTGTTTGCATATCAAAGGTTTCATTATTTTACCAACCAGTGAAAATGGGCCACCCATTTTGGGTTCAGTTTCTAATTTGTTATGAAACAATAAACATAATGTATGTCGTGCTTTACAGAAGTAATGGCTTTTTCATTTAGGTCCTAAGCTAACTACCAGTGACCCAGTTACATGAAACCGCATTTTAAATGGAGAAAATTCACAGAATGCAGTAGACAACTCCCACAAGCAGAGTGATCAGAAAACACACAGCTCAGGGCTAACATATCAAACAACAGATTGGTAAATAGGTTAGCTTTAATGGGATGGACTTGCTAGAAATTAATTTGAGTTTAAGAAAAACCTGTCACTGTTTTTCAGAAAAGCTCAAAAGGTTTAACAACGTAGTTCATTAGCATCAAGAGTCACAAAAGCCCAGTGGATTTTTAAAAGATCTACTGATGCACAGGCGTCACACAGAGAATAGGGAAAGTGCAGAAAAGCTATTATCCACATTCTAATTGGAAGCTGCTTGCTTTTACTTGAAGGTCTGGTTTTGCTTTGTCAATTAAAGCAAAAGTTGATTAAGAAACTATAAAAACGAAGGGAATCAGAAAGAGTGGGCATGTGGAAACTGATGGACAAAAGTTGTTTGTCCCCTAAAAAACTTGAAGTAAGTAGCAATGAAGTTAGAAGCAAATTTCCTTTCTATTCCACAACATTTTCCAATTCAGGTTGGTCTAGAATATAAAAACTTTTGATGAAGCTACACACCCAATTGTTCTGCTCCCTCTGAAGTGCACTTTATTTGTCAGGACACATTTCTATAGAACATCCTGTAGTGTAGGAAACAGAGTAATGATAGAATGACTTTGCTAACTGGGAAAAATTGCAAATTCCAATCTGTAAAAATTCTTCTAAAGCAGAAGAATTATCTCAACTTTACAGCCAACCTTTTAAAAATCTGCCAGAGACTTGGAGCAAAAAAGTAGCTGATCTAATCCTGGTCTGACAATGAAAATTAGACTTCTATTAATCAAGGAATGGTTTCCAAAATAAAACTGATTAACAGAGGATTTAAACAAGGAAAGAGAGAGTAAAGACAAATTGTTGCTTTGAAATTCAAATATTAATAAAAAATTTTACAAACTGAAGCTTCTTATAGATAGATGCTAAAATGTAAAAATTAAGTAAATGTAATTAATCAATATGATCTTTAAGGAAACGAAAGATCTTGCTAATCTAAAACGCATCATCCTACCCATACTGCCCCAGCTTCCTTTTTTAAAGGCTGCACTAATTATGATGATTATGATGTTTAGCCATCTCCAAGGGAAGTTGGGAGGAATTAACCATCATTGTGTTGGCAAAGGGCAAGAAGCTGTGACAAAAGAAAAGGGCTCAGAGCCCATGACAGGGAGGACCTCTTGTGGGCCTGCGATGTGCTCCCATCATAGTCATTCTTAGGTCTTTTCTATAATATCACCACCATGGGGTTGGTGCATATAAGCAGATGGTTCTTTCCCAGTCAACTTCAGGAACAGAAGATGGGTTGTAGGTTGGTGATAGCACTTTTGTCTCAGTGCTCTTTATTTTGGGGTACTACCCCTAACTGTGGTTTATTGCTAAGATGTGACAAATCTTGAGGATTTTAAACAAGAGTCAGTATTTAAAAGAAGAAATGATGTTTTGACTCACTAGAACACAACAATTAGTATCATACTTTTAACCAGCAAGTAAAGAGGTATCTTAATGATTTAAAATCAATATACTCACCACTTTTTTAGCATCTATATTTTGTGACTCACTTGATTTCTGCTTTCCAAGGTTTTTCAAGTAACTATGAACTTCTGAATCAAAACATTCAGCTCCATAAAAGGCACTGCTCCAACCAGGACTACAACCATTTAAGTCAGGTAGACTGGGAGATGCTAGGTAGCTGTTTCCAGCTGTCTTTATCATGGCTTCTTCCTCTGGCCCTGTATTTTCTTCTGCCAAGTCTGGACCAATACAACAGCTGTTGCTTTGCAGACTTTGTCCCTCTTTCTCTGTGGGGATAGTACTCTGCAGTCTCAATTCTTTTTTGATATTGTCTGAAAGTGACTCATCAAAATCCATTTCAGCTAATGATGTATTTATCAGAGTCTCAGCCTTCACATCAAGATTTGCTTCCCCTTTTTCTAAAGAAGGTATATGGGGGGAAAAAGGAATAATGGTCATGTCCTGTGGTTCATGCTTTGTTGAACTTAAACACTACCCATACAAGACACTTAAAAGACTGCCTGTGCACTCCAACAGTGGCGTCAGATGCTTATCTTGGCTCTGTACTTTCTTTCTCTCAGCTACATATTGTAAAATGATAAAGGCTAAAGGCATTTCAGAACCCTTAAGCAATAGTTAAACAATGCATTTTTGAAAATCACAAAATATTTTCCATGCAACAAGCATTTAAACAAAGCACAGCAGAGAAGCTTTGAAACAGAGGTAAAATATGTCAGACATATGTCAGACATTTATAAAATGCTTAGCTCTTGAGGTTTTCTTCTGTCCATAAGTCTTGAAGCTTTTATTCCATATACAGAGAGCAAGAATACTTGATACAGCCAGTGGAGACATAGATGTTAAACTTATTATTCCTACAGGACTCAATCCCTTGAGCTATGACAGCTAGGACTTCTTCGCTGTTCCAACAGTTACTACCAACCTTCAGGGACTGAGGTGACAGTCAAAAGTCAGCATAGGGCTCACAGGAGCTTCTATACCTGCCACAAGTCTCTCTTTTCACTTCAGCAACCCTCAAGGGCTTAGATATGTCACCTTGGAGTCAAATGAACCTATATTACTGGTGCAAAGAAATCACATACTCCATGGTAAAGTCTGGCTATACATTTGCAATCATTCTGAGCCAAAACAGAAAATTGTAACATAGAACAATGGCAGCCAAATGCAAAAGTACAAATTTCTGTTTCACTATAAAAATTAACAATTTAAGTGTATAAGCCCTTCCATAAAGAACACAGAGTTTATCTTTTCTCAAAACAGAGAAGTAACCAAGTTTAAATGCTGCAATTTGGATGAACTAAAAAAGGAAGTTACTGTTTACATGGATGTCTGTTGAAAACTCCAAAAATTATAACTGCTGCGTGTGGTTTCCCTGTGTTCTAGCTGATGTTCTAGTGGCATGCTTTAAAGTAGGGAGAAGAAGGGGGGGATAGTCACACTGAGGAAGTAACTAAATGACATCCCACTCAATGACATTGGGTCATATGTTAGCTTCATATAAAAGACATAAATGTCCTCAAGACATTGATAATGTTCAGATTCAGTGATACTCTCTATAAGTGTTAAAGCAAGTGTTTTCCTGAAGACACATTCAAAATGTAATCTCTCAAAGCTTGTGTCACCGATAGATTCCGAGCACCCAGAAAGATCTAGAAACATGAAGTCCCTTCTCACCCTTCGTCTGGTCACTGCTTGCCAAAAAGCTTTCAGATTTCTTCAGATCTTGGACTATTTTGCCACAATTTGCATCACTTGCCTCAGTTATGCTGAAAGTACAAGAAGATTAAGAAAAATATTTTTCAGGTAGATAGGTATGTCACTGCAGATAAAATAGGCAAAATGAGAAATTCATTAAGCTGGTATTTCCTCACTTAGCAGGCTACTTACAAAAGACTGTCAGGAGGAACATGGAATAAAATTACACCAGTTAAGCAAAACATTTCTAGAAAAGCTAAATTAATTTCCTTTTTCTTGGATGTGAATAGAAAACAAGGATGTATAAACAACTAATATCAGACCAAGCAAACTGAACAGGAAGAGGAATATATTTAACTTCTAACTAAACGGCCTCTGTTTAACAAGACTACGAAGCTCTTCATCAATGGTTGTAACCAGTACTGATCAGAGTTAGCTTTCCATTATTCAACTCTCCTAAGATGGAGTTATAGACAAGTGTAGTAGAAAATATTTTTAACTGAACCATTAAGCACTATTTGCCATGGAGAAAGCCATGAAATACCTAATAAACTGTGAAATTAAGAGTTCGCAGAAAATAAGTAAGGATACCTGAAGAGAAGCAACATATCCTTTCCTGCTTCTAGAAAGTAGGGATAAAAGTATTAAATTCAACTGTAAGAATGAAAAAGTTGAAAAACACCTACCATAAGTGTGAAGATCTTTCTCCATTTACTACCTTATAGAGATTCTCCAGTAATTTTTCATCCCAATATAGGTCACAAAACTTCTCACAAATTCTATCAGAGAACACACCAAACTTCATTTCCTTTAAGTTTAAAATGAAGTTACCTTGTTTAAAATAAGAACAGTACAAACAAAAGAGGGAGAAAAAAGACATTAATAACAATATTCTCACAGATCAATGACAATAATATATAGAAGAGAGTGCACATACCCATATCAAAAACCTCAACTCCATTCTCTAGATAGCCATCAAATGCAAACTCCTCTTGTATAAGATGAATCACTTTCTGAAGCAAATCATCACTTATTCTGTTCTGATGGGGTAGAACTTTATCATCAAAGAAATTATAATTGTCTTTATTCACTGAGGTACACGGTGTGTGCTCTTGTTCAGTGAAAATACTGTCTACATTGGTAGCACACTCAGTTTCTTGGCAGTTGGTTTGAGTAACTGGGCTTTTATCAAACTCGTTCTGTGTATTAGTAGTCTCATGACTTTGCACATTACCAAGGGAGGCATCTTCTGTTTGCATGCTCATTTTATAACTTGCAATAGTACTTGAAAGTAACACTGGCAAACTGTGATAACAATCATAAGCAATTCTTGAACGAAGAGGCTTATTTTGTATTTGCTCTGATACAGCTAAATGTACCGGTACAAATGTCAACACTCTTCTCTCCGAGTCCTGTTTGAGAATGATGTTATTTATATGAAGAAAATTAGGAGATGTAGGACAAGCTAAGGAGCTGGAAGGATCTTCAGATAACATGCTCTTTCCTTGTAGAATATGTGAGGAATCAGACGGTGATGGTAATGTAACCGAAGAAGTAAACATATTGCCTGATGTTTGCTCTTCTGCAGATAACTGGAATGAGTGGCCTGGAACTTGTAAATCACACTCAGGTGTTTCAGGTGCCTTTTCAACAACATCTGTGTACTCAATACCACAGCGTTCAGAGTCTTCTGCATATCCTGAGTTGTTGTGGTCCATATGGTTTTCTTTTCTTTTCTCTTTCTTGAATTGTTCAGAAACTGGTGTGTGAACTTCTCTGAAAAAGAACAAAGGATTTTTTTTAAGGAAAATTCCAGTAGATTTAACAAAGAAGTCTAAATTTTAAGTTATTCTTCTTTAGGATATACTCACTTTGTTATATTTGCATCTTGTTGTAGAATAATAGGCTTAAAGTGAGTTGCAGGAGAGGTGAATGCAACAGGTAATTTAGCTTTCTCACAATTTAGTGAAATCTGGCATGGCACTGGTCCTTTAACTGCTACAAGTTTACTTTCACTGGTAAAAGGCACAAATCCTAAAAATAAAAACACAGTTAGAAAGATGAACAATATGAAAAATATAAATGCAAGGTAAATAACAATCAATTTAGATAGAAAAACAATTGCATATCAGACTGTGAAAAATCTTACATGGAGTACTGATCCAGAGAATACTAAAACAAACTAAACATGTCAGAGCCTGACTGCTTACCTAGACTTGACTCTGAAGAGTCTGTTTCTATTTCATGCTTTTCATTTTTCAATTCAAAAGCAACATGATCTTGGGATAAGACTTCTTCCTCAACACCCTAACAAAAATTGAAGCCCAAATTGAATTTATTAGCATTTTCTTTTTTCAAATTCTGTTCAGCACATTACTTCAAAAAAACCCCCAAGCTTCATATAAAACTAGAATGCTGCAAAGCAACAACCTGGTCATGCCAAGGTGAAATTTTAAAACAAATTACATACAGAATTCCAAGGACTGGTAGAACTATTTAGAAATCTTGATAACACTGTTTCAAATCAGAACTTTAAGGTTAATCAAAGTTTTGAACAAAGTCAGTTCCATGAATTGACTGAATGCTGCATGCATTATATACATACATTTGAAACATAAACAGAACACAAAAATTACACATTAATGACTTCCGATAAGAGGGGTGCCAAATAAAAAGACAGATTATAAAATTAAGTCACTGTTCTTCACCCATACAGATTGTGGTGTCAGAGCATCACAATCTGTGATCATTCTGATAGCAAGACCTAGGAAAGGGCAATACCTGTAGACTACTTGAAAATAAATAAAAAAACCCCAAAACCCAGCAAACCCTCAACAACAAAACCAAATCTAACAACACTTTCAGGGCACAAAATCTTACTGGAATATATTTACAGAATTAATTGAAAAAACATACAAAATTAAACAAAGGTGGCACTCTTACCTTAAAGACAGATTTACTCAATAAGACCAAAATATTTTTGCTGTTTATACCTTGTTCAAGTAAGTAATGATTGCATGTCTAAAAAAAAGACAAAACATAATTTTCAGTCAGTAAATAAGTTTTCAATCAAGTGAGGTATTCTTGGACAAGGACAAAGTCAAGATTAATAGTCAATTAGAAGTAATCTAAGTTTAGGAAGTCTTATGAACCTACTCAGAGTACCTTACTGAGAATTTCAATATAAATTAAAGACACACCCCTCTGTGTCCCCAAGGAGGTAACTTTAAAAATAAAACGCCAAGGTGAATGATTATGAATTAATTAGACATCGGTCTACTAAAAATACTAAATTATTATTTTGATTTTCAAATCACTAAAATGAGACTTTAGACACAAGTAGATTTCACATAAAATTGCTTAAATCTAGTAACCTTAATTGCAGCAGCAAGAGAAGGTCTTTCATCAGGGATTTTTCTTGCCATATCCAGAAGTAGTTTTTTTAATTTTCGTGGTAATACTAGTTTATGACCTGGTGGAACACTGTATTTTGCAGCCATCCACAGAACTGCAGCAACACCATAAATGCAGACCTATTGGTATAACAGAAGAGACAGGAAAGATATAAAAAGACCAAAAAAAAAAAGCCTACACTTCAAAAACAATTCCATTAAATTATCAAAAAATTCCTCCCCATTCGCCGCCAAAAAAAGAAAAAAAAAACCCACAAAACAAAAACAACTAAAACTCCTGAGGCTTTCAAAGTACAGATTACATTCATGGCTTTTGAAGGTGCTGATGAAAATCCCAGCCCATTTCGAAAACTACTTATTACGCATGCAGTGCCATTAACAGTAGCTGATTTTCTACTGTTGGAATAACAAACACTATTTGTCTTAGTCTTTGTCTAGGGAAATTATTCAGGAAAATGGTATTTCAGAACCACTTTGAAGAATTTTTTTTCACATATAAAGATTGCTGCAAGCCTCAGAATTCTACCATAAAACCAGGCCAGTCACAATTTACTTAAAAAAGGTCACGATAATTCAGCAAGTAAGTGCCACACAGTAATTACAAGCTAATCAGTACAACTCATATTTTAAAGAGAAGATTACACTTGTCAGAAGAATGAGGTACTGCATATTTATTTTAGCAATTATTGTGCTACCTGCATCTAGACCAACTGAAGTTCCCCAGTAATGGACCTTGAAAAGTACTTGTTCTTCACAAGCTTTCTTGTTTCATTTGAAGAATAACAGTTTTAAGACAGAGTCAGATTTAGTCCACTTAATGCTTAGTTTATATATGTTAACATGTACTATAAATGCAACTTTAACAAATTTAAAGCACAATACTTCATATTGCCTCTGAAAGATATTAAAAAGGCTCAATGGACAGACACCTAAGCACAGCACTAAATAATGTGGTCCCACAAAACAATGTGTCCTAGTACTCTTTCAAGCAAAGTGAACAGCAAGCAACAAAATGTAACAAGGCAGTTTACTATAAAGGAAATAATCTGAGAACCATTTGAACTATTGAACAAAAGCTATTAATAGCTACAAAAATATTTGATATAGGAGAAAGCAACTCCAATAAAGCAAAAAAAATTCTTCCCCTTAGGCTCAGGATTGCAAGATTACCCAAAATTTATTCATTTAGGAAAATCTTGCCATCCAATCCATCATATTCTTCAAAGAAAGTTTTTTTTACTGTTATTGTGACTGGCACTACACAATCTTCATTCCCTTACCATAATTTGAACTAAATGTTCATAACCAGGAAGTTATAAAATCATCATGAAAAAGGCAAGAAAACAGGTCAGCTTATTCTATTTATAACATTGTAGAAAAATAAGGAAACAGATTACTTCAGATATTCTAAAGGAAATGAACAAAGCATAAAGACTTTAGGATTATTAATTTCTACTGTCTGATGAAACCACTGTATTGTATTTCAGGGTTAGTTTAAGCTTCTGAAGCCTTTGAAAAACCTGCATGTTGGATCAAAGCAGTTTAAGAAAAAAATTTTAAGGAAGATATATAAACATTTTCTAGTTACAGAAATTGAATGTCTTTACTACATTTTTTCTGAATCATGATTATTATGTCTAATTTCAAAGAACTCATAGGACACAAGGTACATATTACCTAATCTCTTGTTACATAATTCTAGTTCACTAACTTTTAAGATCACTGTTTGTAATTCAGATGCAGTTGCAGTGGAGACATATTCACCTGCTATTTGACATTTTTATTATCCTCAGTCTTAAGAGCTCCTTATGGCTTTTATCTACAACAAGAAGCTCTAGGAAAACTGTATTGGTAAGAGACATAATTCATAACGTTCCCATAGTAGAAACATACTGATAACGATATTTTTATCCAATCTTTTAAATATGATTAATGTTTGGGCTTTAGCAAAGAGTGTCTAAAATACTGATCTTAGTGTGACCTTCAGAATCTGAAAACATGACTTCAAAGTCTGCCTTACTGCTAACACGCTGAAAATAATTAAGTTCT